AAAAAAAAAAAAAAAAAATGGTTTCATTCTCATCTAGCTCAGAAAAAGTCCATTTAATTCCATGTTACAGATTCAGAATGATTTCCCATGGCTGGGTTCGTCATGCCTTGTCTGCGGTGATATGAAATTCCACTTGGTTCTTAAACTGTTGCCTCCGTGCCTTTTGCGTGGATAGCTACTGTACTTTGTACCAGCTGCCATACTTCAGATTTCCCAGGAGGTTTGTTTTTGTTTTTTTGTTTCCTTAGATTCTGAAGTATGTGGAGTGCTTCACTGGACCTAATATTATGGCCATGCACACGATGTTGATAAACAAACCTCCAGATGCTGGTAATTATGAGGGGGAGGCAAGAAAAAGAACAATGGTTTTATTAAAATGTGTACGGTTGGCTGGGTGCAGTGACTCATGCCTGTAATTTCAGCATTTTAGGAGACTGAGGGAGGAAGATCTCTGAGGCCAGGAGTTTGAGAGTGGCCTGGGCAAAGTAAGATTCTGTCTCTAAAAATAAAACTTAAAAATATCCAGGCATGGTGGTACGCACTTGCAGTCCCTGCTCCTTGGGGGGCTGAGCGGGGAGGATCGCCTGGGCCCGGGAGTTGAAGGCTGCAGTGAACTATGATAGCCTGGGTGACAGAGTGAGACCCCATCTCTAAAAAATAAATAAAATACAACCAAACAAAATAATAAGATAAAATCAGTGATATCTAATCATATGTGTAACTATCAAACTTTGGATGAGGAAGTCTTAAAATAACTTACGCTATAACAACAGTGAAATGCGATAATGATTTCAGACACTAACTGTAGAACTGTTGCTGAATTTTCAGATGACTGGCTCCCCAAAAATGCAGTTTAACAGACATAACTGTTCATGTGTCAAAGGTTTCTGACGTTCGATATCGCTAAGCTTGATCAGCTCTTTTTAGCTGTGATAGTGTGAATTCTTGCATTCCTGATAGGAGGGCGTTATTATTACTAATACAATTTAAATTGTAACTATGAGTCACAGACTAGAGTTGCCTTTTTTTTTTTTTTTTTTTTTTTTTTTT